GAAAACTATTTTCAACTTGAATTTGAAAACTTCGGCTGTGGTTTGTTGACTGAACAGGTAGCATCAATTTGCCAACAATCCTCAAGCCGTAAGTGCCGAAGGTCCCGAAGCCGAGAATGCCAAAGCCTGAGGGCGCCGAAGCCCGAGAGCTCCGAATCCGAGCATGTCGAAGCCTGAGAGTGCCGAAGCCTGAAAGTGGCTTGGACGATGACTAAGCTCAATTTCGAGATATTGATAAATTTGTAAGTCACCGGTTAACTGATAATTGCATGAAAGCAACAAGAAGACTGCAATAATGTTGCAGGAGAGATGCAAGAAAGTTGCAAGAAGGCTGCAGGGAGGTTGCACGAAAGCTGCAAAGGACCAATGACAGTGCTCAGGAAAGTTGTAGTGCTCGGAGAAGGCTGCAATAATGCTGCAGTAAAGAGTAGTGCTTTCCTTGGGAAGAGCTGACTAAAATCTGCAGGGAAAATTTTGTTGAGGTATATCCGACGGCGAAAAAAACTGCATGAGGGAGGTCCAACAGCGAGAAAGGCTGCAGAGGAGAGAACCGACTACAGGAGTAAGTCCGAAGGTCCAGTTGGCAACAGATATGTCTGCAGGAAGTTCTGGCTGCAGGAAAGGCCGCAGGAGTAAGCCCGAAGGTACAGTTGACAGCATATATGTCTGCAGGAAGTTCTGGTGGTAGGAAATGCCACAGGAGGGAATTTCACCAGCGGGACGGGCTACAGGAGGGAGTTCCAGTGGCAGGAAATTCATCAAGGGATAGCTCCAACTGTAGGTTGAACGCAGCAGCGACAGGAACGGAAAGAGCAACTGTGTTAGATACAGGGGATGGTGCTGGGGCTTCTGCCGCAGTCGAAGTAATGCTGGCGAGGGAGATGATAGCGACACCGACGATCGAGAGGAGCGCTACAGCCTTGGATCTGATTGAAGTCATTCCTGCCCTCACGAATTCACTGAATTTGCTTGAAATGATCTTAACGATGGTGCCGAATTCGAAGAAAAAAAGGAACAACCGAAGGCGGGATGATCGAGATGAACCGGATGTGCTGCCGGCGGAAGAAGATGCAACGATTCGAGGTCTTCATTCGGAAGCTGGTACCTAAGGGCGAAGTTCTGACCACCAAGAAGATGTTGGAATCGAGCGACAAACAGTGGTTCAGTCTTCGAAAAATTACCGAGCGGGATCGAGCTCTCCAGGTCAAGCGGCTTTCGCGCCTGATTGAGCGGCACTCGTACAGGCGAGATGGGATCGAACGGTACAGGCGAGGAAAACGGAGAAGCTGACGGAGTTGCAATCTCTGGAGCTTCAGAAGGAGAAGAAGAAGAAGTTGGAGTTTTAGCAGCCGGAACAGGGGAAGGAGATGAACTTGGAGATTTAACAGCAGGGTTTGGTGAAAGAGAAGAGCTCGGAGACTTGATCTTCAGAGCAGGAGAAGGAGCCTTTGATGTAGTAGAAGAAGATGGCTTCTTTGCAGAAATGGAATGGCTGTTAATTATGGAAGACCAGCTGAGATATCCATCCGTGCTGCAGGAATTGAATGGACAATCTTACTTCGTTTCTAAGATTGCCCCTTGCGCCCCTGTTAGCAATAGCAACGTTCACAAATTCCCTCACACCTATGGCAATGCAGCAGTGCAGATCCCAATTATGCAAAATTATCACGGAAGCATTCCACACATCACTCCATCCTTTTCTGTCGTTGCTTCCGCACCAAAGGAAGTTGGCGCTACTGGATTCCTTATTGATTTCCTCCTGGGAGGAGTCTCTGCCGATTCGGAGTACAGACGGGAATTTAGGGCACGGGTCAGAGATGTACGAAGCCATTGCCTTATGGTCCGAGATCAGTAGCAGAGACTAAGAGGCAACTAGGAGGCGAGATCGGAGAAGGAGAAACCAAAAGAGTTGCAGAAGGCGAAGATATCGACGAAAGAGTGAACGCTTTAATGCGGGATCTCTGCAGACAATGGGTGAGATCTCCCCTCGCAGCTTCGATGGCGATGAAACCGAAAATGTTCCCTCCTTACACACAGGAGAGGAGAAGCAATTATCAGAGGCGCCGACGGTAAGCGATGTGACGATATCAACCGGGAAAGGGCAGCAGCGAACTAGCTTCGTGCCCGCTCTATCGACCAGCGGAAGAACCATCCGCGAAAGGAAAGGGTAAGTTTGAGGGGATGAAGGAGATGAAGCAGTCAATGCGGACAAAAATATTATTGACGAATCGAAGGTGGAGAAATAGTTCCTCCCTTCCGGTCGTCTCATTAACACGAAGAAGCCGACGAAGTTGAAGTGGAAGAAACAATGATAGTTACCGAAGGAGATCTAAAGAAATCATGAGACGACAAGTAGACAAATGATTGAGAATCAAGGCATCCTCCCTTCCCGTCCTGCAAGAAGGCCGGTCGGCGAGAAGGGAGTCTTGACGGTACTCCAATAATTATCGGTGGTTAGGGCAAAAATCTGACTTTGATACCACTTGTTGAGAAATTAGGGGGAAGAAAATAGAAATCGACACAAATCCAGAAGAACACACAGGAATTTATGAGATTCGGTAAAGATGCCTACATCCTCGGGAGCGGAGCGGTGACTTTTTCACTAATCCAGAAAAAAAAAGAATATGATACATAATAGAATAACCTAGGGTTACAAACAGACCTTTTTATAATGCTAAAAAGAGCAGAAAAGGAAACATTGAGTACAATATATAATTACCAAATTATCCCTGTACCGCACCCCCAACCAACATAAGGAAACTCCTCTAATTTGGGCAGAATCTTCCCCTCCGCTCCAGCATCTGTCCCTTATATGATATATGAGTCATACCTAACAAATCTCCACCTTGGCGAATATCCAACCTTTTAGGAGAAATATATATGCCCAACAAACCTCCACATTGACGAATATCCAGCCCCTTAGGAGAAATGCATATGTCTAGCAAATCATCACTTTGGCGAATATTCAGCCCCTTAAGAGAAAATACATCATGGAGTTTCTTATGCACCAATGTGGGTTGGGCCACAAATATTTTTAAATAATCTCTTAATTAAGATTCTTTTAATTAAGTTTCTCAAAAAAAGAATTTTCCCTTAATTAAATTTTCTCAGAAATCTTTTTCCTTAAACTTCCAAGAAAAGCTCTCTCTCCTTCTAGAAAAGCTCTTTTTTTTCTTTCAGAAAAGCTCCGTTTCCGCTTTCCTTCCAGAAAAACTTTGCCTCCGCTTTTATTCCGGAAAAAAATCTTTCTTTTCCCGAGTGCAGCAGCAGATTCCCTTTCCTTGTCTTTCCTGCGTCCTGAAATATCTCCGCGTGCAACAAGATTTTTTGGTTAATAAGAGGAAATTTCTTTTATTGCCTTTAGAGAAATCTGAAAAATATCCCTTTCAAATTTCTTCTCCACAGCAAAGGAATAAAATTGGAACTTATTTCTTTCCAAATTTCTTCTCCGCCTCCCTCAAAGGAATAAAATCGAAACTTGATTTTTCTTCCAATTTTCTTCTCCGCAATAAAATCGAAACTTGATTACCTTCCAAATTTTTTCTGCCTTCAGCAAAGGAATGAAATCGAAGCTTTCAATTTTCGCCTCAGCTCCAGCCTGACGCCAAACCTTTCTTTTTTGCCTGTAGCGACTTTGCCTGACGCCGAAACCTCTCGTCGAACCAAAGCCCTTCCGAACTGCCGAAGCCGAAGCCGCGATTCCTCTGTCGCGATTCCTGCAGTGATTCCTCTGTCGATCTCGTTGACGCCTTCCTGCGCCTCTGCTGATCTCGTAGACGTCGTCCGCCCCGACTCCTCTGAAGCTTCGCCTAACTCCTACTGTCCTCGCGCGCCTGGTGTCGCACTTGAAGCCTTCGCGGAAAAGCCCTCGTCTTCCTGCCGAACCGCTCGAGAACCGTTCGAAGCCCTATTCATTTTCGAACTTCCTCTGCGCCCTTCTTCCCCCGCCACTCTCCTCTGCCGAAATCTTCTTTATTCCCGCGCCGCCCAAATTTTTCTTCCCTGCCCTCGAACCTCGCTTTGATAGCATGTTGAAACAAAAATATCTCATTATATTAAGGAAAGAATTTATTCCTTATAACTTTTTCTTGGAATAAATTATTTATTATTATAAGTCTTAACAGGAAAGATAATAAATCTTGAAATTTAAATTAGATATTTCAACAGGTAAAAATATTACTTTCGAACTTCGGATGCAGAGCTCTTTCTGAAGTCCAATCTCGAATCACCACGTGGAATGGGACCCACATACGAAACGATGAAAATAAATGATTTTTACCGCGCGTCCCGGCCCGAAACCTAGACCCAATATTTTTAAAATTCAAAAAGTTACTTCTAATCATCTGACCCAGAATCCAACCCAAAGTTGCGACGCTTCATTCAAAAGGCATTCTTTGGCATTTTCACGACACTATTCTGACAGTTTCAAGCTCTGCATCCGGTTCTTTCCTCTTTGGCGAAACCCTAGGTTTTTGTAACACATTCCACGCCACTCAAAGGAAGGTGATTCATTCGGCAACTTTTGTCGGTTGGCAAAAACCTTATTGGCGCTCCTAATTGGCGCATTGCATCGTCTGTGAAAGGCACAACCATTGAGGACAACCATGAAAGCTAGCAGTTCAACAAAATCCAGGTGTTATGCTACATTTTCATTTAGAGTAGAATTAGAATATTTTTCCTTTTGTATGGTATATAATAACGAAGAAATGGTTGTGACCGAGCCTTAAATCTAGTAGAATAATCCCGAAATGATTGTGACTGAGGTATTTTGAGGTGTTATTGCTGTGTAAACAATAATAACACCTCAATAATACTTCCATAACACATCTATAACACTTCAATAGAGGTTGTTCTTTTGTCAGTGGTTTTATCACATCAATAACACATCAATAACACACCAATAACACATTAATAACAATCATTGTGACTGAGGTGATTTTGAGGTGTTATTATTGTTTAAACAATAATAACACCTCAAAATCACCTCAGTCACAATGATTGTTATTAATGTGTTATTGGTGTGTTATTGATGTGTTATTGATGTGATAAAACCATTGACAAAAGAACAACCTCTATTGAAGTGTTATAGATGTGTTATGGAAGTATTATTGAGGTGTTATTATTGTTTACACAACAATAACACCTCAAATTGTTGTTTACACAACAATAACACCTCAAAAATACCTCAGTCATAATCATTTCGGGGTTATTCTACTAGATTTAAGGCTCGATCACAACCATTTCTTCGTTATTATATACCATACAAAATGGAAAATATTCTAATTCTACTCTAAATGAAAATGTAGCATAATACCTGGATTTTGTTGAACTGCTAGGTTTCATGGTTGTCCTTAATGGTTGTGCCTTTCACAGACGAGGCAATGCGCCAATTAGGGTTTTGCCAACCGACAAAAGTTGCCGAATGAATCACCTTTGAGTGGCGTGGAATGTGTTACAAAAACCTAGGGTTTCGCCAAAAAGGAAGGAACCGGACGCAGAGCTTGAAACCGTCAGAATAGTGCCATGAAAATGCCAAAGAATGCCTTTTGATGATGTAAGGTACTGATTATTTACTCTTAAATTCTAAAACACCAAGTTAATGTTCTTCGATGGTTAATTGAGAGGAAACGCCACCTAATCTCAGATGGAGAAAGATCCTCACCAGCAGCACAGTTAGCTTTCCCTTCATGCTAAATCTAAAACATGTATGATCTAAATCTCGGATGGAGCAAGATTCTCTTAAAATCTCAGTGGTACGCTTTATTCAGTAGATCAAGTTCGTTGCTTAAGGTTCCACATTTTAATTAAAAAATGGTACTCTAATATATATGACAGCCGTTTCTGCTCTATGGTTAGAAGACACTGCTCCCTTCTTCATATTTATAATGAACTAATCCTTAAAGTAAGTCATAAACAAGCCAGGCAATTTGCACTATTACTTAACCATAGCACTATTTAATCAGAAACAACTGACACATCTGTTGCTTTTGTAGGCACTTCATTCAACTGGTGCTCTCTGCTGAGCCTTCAGGGAGGCTTCTGAAATATAATTCAGTTACTAAAGAAACAACAGTCCTCCTTAGAGACCTTCAATTCCCTAATGGCGTCTCCCTAAGCAAGGACAGATCTTTCCTTATATTCAGTGAAGGCAGTCGTGGAAGGTTAACATTTCTTTGTGCCTCATTTTCTTCTTTTGATTTGCATCTTTAGAGCCTGAAAAACTATTTGTCCCTCAAAATTTTGTGGCAATGCAGGTTGAGTAGATATTGGTTGAAGGGTGACAAGGCTGGGACATCTGAGGTTTTTGTTCAGCTGCCTGGTTTTCCAGATAATGTGAGGACAAATGATAAGGGAGAATTCTGGGTGGCAATACATTGCCGCGCCACCAGAGTTGCCTATATCTTGAGCACATATCTCCGGTTGTCAAAATTTCTGCTGAAACTTCCAATTCCAGCAAGACTGCAGTTCTTGGTGCGTATTGGTGGAAAGCTTCATGCGGTTATTGCCAGGTACAGCCCTGAAGGAGAGCTGCTTGAAATGTTGGAGGATCGAGAAGGAAAGGTGGTTAGAGCTGCCAGCGAAGTTGAGGAGAAGGACGGGAAGCTGTGGATTGGATCCGTCTTAATGCCATTCATAGCCGTATACACATTAGAGTAATGTTTACTCTCATTTTGCATCCTTTTTTTTTCATGCGGTTTAAGCCTTCGGATCTCAATGCATATGGCCGGAATAAGATCAAAGTTTTTTTTTTTTTTTGGTTAAATTACCACGTTTTCTTGTAGTTGATTGATTTGGCAAAGCATTTTTGCTCTTTCTAGGACATGCAGTGTGTTTCTATATTTGAATTTTGATATATGTTCTAAGTGGAAAGTGAAGTGCTTGGTCATTCAACTCTCGGATATTTGCTGGTTCATTTGCTCCTAAATTATCTATGTCACATTTGCTTTGATTTTGAAGTTTAGCTCTTAGCTTAAGCAGTATATCA